TAGCGGTCAGCTAATAAATGGATTGAGATTTCCTCAAGTGTTTGAAAACAATAAGTCTCGTGGTCTTTGCTGGTCTTTATCGTGGGTTTTTGGAGCACACCTTCAAACTCAGCCAGGCAGCTGACAACCCTACCTTTGCCTTCACGTCCTGCTTGCACAGAGCGTCAAGGTTCCCCATTGAGAGCCCTCCTGCTCTAAATAAAGGAGCTGGGGAGACCAAATTATTGTGCAGGAAGTTTGCTTAGCAAATGATAGACATGCCTAACTGATCTCCTTTCTCCCCTTCTCCCTTATTAACCATCCCCCTATGTTACTGGGGGCAGAATTGCAACCAGACAAGAAAATGATGTTTCCCAGCCTCCCTTGCAGCTGGGTAGGGACAACCTTTGAGATGTAAGTGGAAGTTGGTGGATGGGGTTGCTATGAAAGGCCTTCTGCCCGTGGCCCTTCTCCTACTTCCTGTTTTGAATGTGGGTGTGATGGTAAACTTCCAGCAACCATTTTATGATCTTAAGGATGTGATCTTAAGGATGTCCTGTGGGTTAAAAGGTAGAAAGATAGAAAGAACTGACCTGAGCCTATTGAGATTTTTCTCTGGACTTTTCTTCTATGTGAAAGAGAAATAAATCTCGATCTTTTTTAAATCACTTAATTTATTTTGTGTTTTATGAGCCAACCCTAATCCTAGCTAGTATAGCAAGCACAAAATCAGAGTTGAGGAAGAAGGATAGCCCAGAGCAGCAGTTCATGCAGGCTGGGCTACCAATACAGAGCCCTGGCCATTCTCCAGAGGCCACCTGTGGTAGGCAGCCTTAAAGATGACCCCAAATGGCCAGGCGGGGTGGCTCACACCTATAATCCCAGCACTTTGGGAAGCCGAGGCAGCCAAATCACTTGAGGTCAGGAGTTCGAGACCAGCCTGGCCAACATGATGAAACCACATCTCTACCAAAAATATAAAAACATTAGCCAGGCACCTGTAGTCCCAGCTACTTGGGAGGCTGAGGCAGGAGAATCACTTGGACCCAGGAGGCAGAGGTTGCAGTGAGCCGAGGTCATGCCACTGCACTCCAGCCTGGGCAATAGAGCGAGACTCTGTCTCAAAAAAAAAAAAAAAAAAAAAAAAGAGAGATGGCCCCAAATGATCCTCACACCTCAGTGTTCACTGGTTCAGTAGGCTGACCTGTGTAATCAATAGGAGACTGCAGAAGTGTAACAGCGTGGCTTCTGAAGGTAGCCCGTGACAGACGTTGCACTTTACACTGTAAACCAAAAAGTGTCTGGGACAGGTCTCAATCAACCTAGAAGTTTACTCTGCCAAGGTTAAGGACATGCAATAAACATCAGTCACAGAAACAGTGAGTGAGTGGTCTGTGCCTTTCTCCAGAGATGATTTTGAGGGCTTCGGTATTCAAAGGGGAAAAGCAGGCTGGAGGAGAAAGAGGGAGGGTATGGTCGCATTCCTGAATCCACATCTTGCGAGAGAAACAAAGCAAGTAGAGGCAGAGTCAATTATGTATTAATCTCACACTCAGTAATTGCCACTTTCCATAAGATAAGGTGAACATAGAGTAGCTACCTGTGGAGATGTTTAACCTTTTATCGGTAGCTATCTGCTTAGGAATAAAAGGAAAGGCAGCCTCTTGCATGACTCAGCTTTCAGCTTAATTTTTTTTGTTCTTGGCAGAGTGAATTGGAGTCCCAATGAGTTTTTATTTTCCTTTCCCATCATCTTGCTGTCTCTTGAATCACTTGTTTTGGGGAGAGCCAGCTGCCACGTTGTGAGGACACTCAAGCAGCCCTATAGAGAGACCCATGTGGCAAGGAACTGAGAAATCTCCCACTTTCAGCCTCCTGAATAGCTGGGACTACAGGCGTACGCCACCACCCTCAGTTAATTTTTGTTTGTTTTTGTTTGAGACGAAATCTTGCTCTGTCCCCCAGGCTGGAGTGCAGTGGAGTGATCTCAGCTCCCTGCAACCTCCACCTCCTGGGTTCAAGCAATTCTCCTGCCTCAGCCTCCTGAGTAGCTGGGATTACAAGGGCACGCCACCACGCCTGGCTAATTTTTGTATTTTGAGTAGAGACAGGGTTTCACCATGTTGGCCAGGCTGGTCTTGAACCCCTGGCTTCAAGTGATCTGCCCTCACTCAACCTCCCAGAGTGCTGGGATTATAGGTATGAGCCACCACACCTTATTAGATTTTTTTTTTTCTTTTTTTTTTAGACGAAGTCTCAATCTTGTCACCCAGGCTGGAGTGGAATGGCGTGATCTCTGCTCACTGCAACCTCGGCCTCCCAGGTTCAAGCAATTCTCCTGCCTCAGCCTCCTGAGTAGCTGGGACTTCAGGTGCACACCACCATGCCTGGCTAATTTTTTGTATTTTTATTAGAGACGGGGTTTCACCGTGTTAGCCAGGCTGGTCTTGAACTCCTGACCTCAGGTGATCCACCCGCCTCCACCTCCCAAAGTGCTGGGATTACAAGCATGAGCCGACGCACCTGGCTAATTTTTGTATTTTTTGTAGAGGCGAGGTTTTACCATGTTGGCCAGGCTGGTCTTGAACTCCTGGACTCAACTGATCCACCTGCCTTGGCCTCCCAAAGTGCTAGGATTACAGGCGTGAGCCACTGCGCCTGGTCACGGTTACTCTTTGGTAATCTGCTGAGCTCTGCTGCGATGCCTCTGCCCTGTCTTGCCTGGAATGCCACTCCCTCCCTTCCCTCACCTTTCTAATGGCTTCTTCAAAAGCTAGATTCACTATTCACCTACAGACATTCCCACCACCTCAAAGAAGGTGGGGTGTCACTGCCAAAGTGAAAGAGAGGCTGTACCACCTGCCATTAAGAAAGAGGCACACCAGCCTGGGCAACATATAGCAAAATCTATCTCTACAAAAAATAAAAAATCAGCTGGGTGTGGTAGCATGTACCTGTACTTCCACCTACTCGGGAGGCTGAAGCAGGAGGATTGCTTGAACCCAGGAGGATAAGGCTGCAGTGAGCCGTGTTTGTGCCACTGCACTCCAGCCTGGGCAACAGAGAACCTGCCTCAAAATAAAAAATAAAAAAAAAGAAGAGGCACAATACTTGGTGTCATTGGATTTTGGAGGCAACACACACCCCCCCGCTAATGAGCTACTCTGACCCAATTGCCCAGTAGACCAGAGACTGCCAGTTCTGAGCAACTGACTCTGCAATAGTCCAGGCTTTGGTACAAGCTGCTCTGGCACTTTGGCTGATGGTACTTGAAAAGTCTTTGGCAAATAGCCGGGTGGTGGCTCACGCCTGTAATCCCAGCACTTTGGGAGGCCGAGGCAGGCAGATCACCTGAGGTCAGGAGTTCAAGACCAGCCTGGCCAACATGGCGAAACCCCATCTCTACTAAAAATATAAAAATTAGCTGGTGCAGTGGCAGCTGCCTATAATCCCAGCTACTCCAGAGGCTGAGCCGGGAGAATTGTTTGAACCTGGGAGGTGGAGGTTGCAGTGAGCCGAGATGGCACCCCTGCAGTCCAGCCTGGGTGACAGAGCGAGACTCTGTCTCAAACAAAAAAGAAGAAGAAAAAGGTCTTGGGCAAATAGACTTGGAATCCCCGAAAACCAAGATAAGAGAATCACACACAGACCCCCAGGATCCAAGGCCAGTCGGGCCATCTTCAGCCAATTGTTTTAGCTTCCCATTGAATGCCTGATCATGGAACATCTTCAAAACTTGGTTCACCACTTTCTTTTAGGGACCTTCCCATAGGTAACTACATCCTACACTCTGTGGCCTCAACTGTTTTGGACTGAATGTGTGCTTTATTAAACAGGACTCGTAGCCATTTGCCTTGCTAAGTGACCCACCTGTGTTGACTTTGTCACCCAACTAGTGTGTGATATTGAGCAAGTTAACTAACATCTTAAAATTTAAGAATAAGCCAGGCACACTGAAGCAGGCCCATAGTCCCAGCTACTCCAGGGGACAAGGTGGAAGAATTGCAAGACCCCATCTCTATGAAAATAATAATATAATAATAAAAGTGCTGGGCTGGGTGCAGTGGGTCACACCTGTAATCCTAGCACTTTGGGAGGCTGATGCGGGAAGATGGTTTGAGCCCAGGACTTCAAGACCAGCCTGGACAACATAGTGAGACCCTCATCTCTACAAAAAAAAAATCAAAAATTAGCCAGGTGTGGCACGTGCCACCTGTACTCCCAGCTACTCAGAAGGCTGAGGTGGGAGGATCGCTTGACCCCAGGAGGTTGAGGCTGCAGTGAGCCATGATCATGCCACTGCACTCCAGCCTGGGTGACAGAGTGAGACTCTGTCTAAAAAAAAAAAATACGTTTTTTTAAAAAAAAATAGGTAAATAAGCTGGGCATGGTGGCTCACGCCTGTAATCCCAGCACTTTGAGAGGCCGAGGTGGGCGGATCACAAAGTCAGGAGTTCGAGACCAGCCTGGCCAACATGGTGAAACCCCGTCTCTACTAAAAATACAAAAATTACCTGGGCATGGTGGTGCCCACCTATGTAATCCCAGCTACTTAAGAAGCTGAGGCAGGAGAATCACTTGAACCTAGGAGGTGGAGGTTGCAGTGAGCTGAAATTGTGCCACTGCACTCCAGCCTGGGTGACAGAGTGAGACTCCGTCTAAGATAAATAAATAAATAAATAAATAATTTTAAAAAATAGGTAAATAAATAAAAATGAAGGCCTTAGAAAGGTGCCTGGAGACCAGGCATGGTGGCTTATGCCTGTAATCTCAGCACATTGGGAGGCCAAGGCGAGTGGATCATCTGAGGTCAGGAGTTTGAGGCCAGCCTGGACAACGTGATGAAACCCTATCTCGACTGAAAATACAAAAACTAGCTGTGTGTGGTGACGAATGCCTATAATTCCAGCTACTCAGGAGGCTGAAGCACGAGAATCTCTTGAACCCGGGAGGCGGAGGTTGCAAAGAGCTGAGATCGTACCACTGCACTCCAGCCTGGGCAACAGAGCGGGACTCCATGTCAAAAAAATTATTAAATTAAAAAGAAAGGTGTTTGGAACATAGTCAACAGTCAGTACATTTAAACTGCTGCTGCTGTTACTATGGCTGATGGGAGAGTGTTGCAGAAATAGACTGGGGATTAAGTGAGAGACCTCCGGAGAAATAAGGAGGCGATGAGTATTTGCAGGTGCTCCTGCAGCAGGGCGCCATGGATTTGCTTCCATGCAGAGCGCCGCTGGACTCTCCTCACTGCAGATGGAACCACGCTGCCAGGGCAGAGGGAGGCAGCCCTCAGAACCGTGCCATGGATGCTAGGCCACAGGGTCGTGCCCATCCTTGGGTGAGGAAACCGATCTTCTGCACATGCTTCCCCAGGTGTTTAAAACTCCCTCTCTGGAAGAAGAATCAGAGAACGCTTTAGACAGGTTGTGCTATGGCTGGAAATAGAAACGCCAGGATCTCTCCTTTCAAGTTTTCCATACATTTTAATTTCCTTTTGCTGAAAGGAAAAACACTTGATTCTAATTTATTTGTAGGCCTGAAATGAGATTTTTCCTCAGTTGGAAGATGTGATGTGCCCTGTACACTAAATGAGAGAAGGGTTGGGAAAATGTAAGCAGGAAACTTTTACTGCAGAAGTAAAAGGAATAACTTAAGCGAAAGCCAATCTGAAAAGGCTGCATACTGTATGATTCCAACTATATGACATTCTGGAAAAGGCAAGACTATGGAAAAGGTGAAAAAAAATTCAGCCCTGCCAGATGTCGTGGGAAGGGGGGATGAATCGGTGGAGCAAAGTGGATTTTTAGGGCAGTGAAAATCCTCCGTGTGACAGTATCATGGTGGATGTGTGGCGTTATGCGTTAGTCCAAATCCACAGAATGTACCACAGCAAGAGTGAACCCTCATGTCAGCTGCGGCTCCTGGGTGATAAGATTCCCATGCTAGCAGGATGCTGTCGGGAATATGGGAATCTCTGCGCCTTCCTCTCTATTTTGCTGTGAACCTAAAACTGCTCTAAAAAAAAAAAAATAGTCTATTTAGAAAAATAAAAAAGCAAAATGAAAATGCAAGCTTGGTTTTGAGGGCATATTATTTAGAACTCTGCTGGGTGCAAGTAACAGAAGTTTCTAGCTCACTGAGTCTCAGAAGGATGTTATAGGTCATAGGTGCCTCGGGAACCGGGAGACAGGGATGATTACAGCTGCTGGGAGGAGGCTGCAGTGAGGTGGAAGGCAGAATCCCGGTGGCCACTCTCTCCCCAGCTCCCCTGTTTACACAGGATCCTCTCCCGCTTTCTATAGACACTGCCCTTTCTCTACTCCAATCCTAAATTCCTGGGCCAGGGGACGCTGGTGGCGCAGTGCTTGGGGCAGCTTCCAGCTCCAGCAACTCTGGTCATGGGGGTGGAGGTGCGGGTATGGTTCCATACCAGCAGAAATCTGCAAGGAAGTGAACGTGTGTGTTGGGTGGGCCAGGGCGCTTTCGGGGGGGCCTCGTTTTGTAATAGTCGTGCCCCCATCGCCACCCCCGCAGGAATATGGTGTTCGTTCCCGGCTGAATTAGGCACCGCTTTCTGTGCTTGCTGCTGACACCCGCTTTCCTTTTGATTTAAAGCCGTTGCAGGGCTCCGCTTTGGAGCGGGCATTGGAGGAATTCTTTGGCCACCAAGCAGCCTCCGTGCGTCCCTCTTATATAACAGAGCCACCGAGAGGCTGTTTGCATTCTGCCTGCTTTTTTTCCGTTGCAGTAGTTTATTTATTAATTAGTGTGCAAAAGATAAAAAAGAGGTAATAAGCTTGTTTGTGTGCTAGTCCACGTGTTCTCTGTGCTCATTTTTTCTGCAGCCTGGCGTCGGGAACCGGAACGTTTGGCCCCAGGAGAGGAGGCCGGGACCCATGGTGCCAGAATCTTACCGTGCAGAGGCGACAGGTCAATGCAGTTCGTTCCTTTTCCTCCCTCCCTCTCTTCTCCCCGCCATCTCCCTCCCTCTCCTCCTCCCTCCTTCCTCCCTTATCCCCCGCCCCCCGGAGGGTTCTGGGCGTCCTTGGAAGGAAAGGAGAATGGCCTCCAGGTCGGAGAACTCGCAGCCGTCATGGCAAACACCGCTAGGAAGCGGGGAAAGGAGCCATCGGGGGGTTGAAACTTGGGTTCCAGGCGGCCTCTGGTGGCGCTTGCGGAGAGAGTGCCGCCCGGCTGCGCCCCTCACCCCTCAGCCGGGGACCCTCGGACACCTCCCGGGCGGGCTACCTCGCTGTGGTCTGCTCTGGCCGCTGTCCCCCCGCCTCATTTGCCACGCGCCCCTTCACTTCGGGGGTGCACGCGGGGGCATCTCCGCTTCCACAGTGTGGTGGTGAAATCCGCAAGGATCACAGCCCAGGGGGAGCTGGGCGGGGAACATGGGCAGGATGGATGCAGGGTCTGGCCAAGACAAGCTTCTGGCCCTCCTGCAGCGCTTTGTAATGGAGGCTGACCCGCCTTTTCCGTGCTCGCAGCGAGGGAGAGCCTTGTCGCCCCTCGCAGCACCCCAACACCCACCCCCACCTCCACCGTCCAGCGGCGGCCCTAGCGTCAGTTTGCCCAGTTACCAACCTGAGCAGCCCCGCAGCGCGGCACCCAGCCAGCAGGACAGAGGGAGGGCCAAGGTGGCTCCCCGGGGAGGCAGGACGACCTCGTCGTCCGCCACCCCTCGCCACCCCGGACTTGGGGCCTGGGGGCTTCTGCACTGTTGGAATCCTGCCTGTTGGGGGCGCGGGCTGCCTTGAGAGAGGTTTCTGGATGTAGAGTCAGCTGGGCTCCCTCCCTGCCTTCCCCCTCCCCCCACCACCAGAGACATCCAGGAAATGTACAGATTTCTGCCGCACTCTGGGGTCAAAATGGGACCCGGTGGGAAAAACATGTATTTCATTTTCCCTATATTATGTAATCATGTAAAGAAAATTAAAGACATTTTAAGCTGGGGTTGTGCTTTCTGTAACGGAATGAAAACCACTTCCAAGGCTTCAACTTAAAAAGAATAAAAGGAAAAGGAGGAAAGCTTTTTAAAAAGTTTACTAGGTAAATATTTAAAAACAAAAAGCAGCATAAAAAGAAAATGAAATACAAGCCATTAGGGAAGTGTGAAATAGCAAGCATGTATGTAAAATTTTCTAATGAAATCTTTCCAACCCCCTCTTAGCTTCTTTTTTACTTATTATTACAATTTCAAACAGACATAAAAGTAGATAAGTAGGTAACAAACCCCCACCTTCAACAATGACCAATGTAGTCCAGGTGGTACTCACGCCTGTAATTCCAGCATTTTAGGAGGCAGAGGCGGGCGGATCACTTGAGCTTAGGAGTTCGAGACCAGCCTGGACAACATAGTGAGACCTCCATCTCTACAAAACAATTAAAAAATTAGCTAGCCTTGAGCGCAGGTGCCTGTAGTCTCACCCACTCATGAGGCTCAGGTGGGAGGATCACTTGAGCCCAGGAGGTTGCAGTGAGCTGTGATCTTGCCACTTCGACAAAGCAAAACCATGTCATCAAAAAGAAAAAAAAATTTACCAATGTAGGGCCATTTTTTTTCACCTGTATTCCCACTTGCTCTCCCTCATTGTGTATTTTTATTTTTTAATAATGAGATAAATTGAGCTTGTGTTTTAATTAGGCTTGGCTGCGTAACAAGCCACCCCAAAACTTAGTGGCCCAAAGCAACCATAGCTTACTATTTCTCACCATTCCAGTGATTGGCTGGACAGTTCCTCTGCCAGTTTTGACTGGAGTTCCTCCTAAAATGTCTAAGGTGGCCCCTTGTCCTCTAATAGGCTAGATGGGCATCCTTATATGGCACCTAGAGTTTTCTTTTTTTTTTTTGCTTCCATCAACACAACTTTTCTTTCTTTTCTTTTCTTTTCTTTCTTTCTTTCTTCCTTCCTTCTTCCTTTCTTCCCTTTCTTTTGAGATGGTGTTTCACTCTGTTGCCCAGGCTGCCACGCAGTTGTGCCATTATAGCTCACTGTAGCCTCAAACTCCTAGGCTCAAGCGATCCTCCTGCCTCAGCCTCCTGAGTAGCTGGGACTAAGCACACAGCACCACGCCTGTCTAAATTTTAAAATTTTTGTACAGATGGAGTCTCACTATGTTTCCCAGGCTGGCCTCCAAATCCTGGCCTCAAATGATCCTCCCACTTCAGCCTCCGAAAGTGTTGGGATTACAGGCATAAGCCACCACACCCAGGCCATAACTTTTCCTTTTAATAAACTTTATAGTATATATATATATATTTTTTTTTTCTAAGACTCAATTCAGAGGATATAACCATTATTTTATTTTATTTTATTTTTGAAACAGAGTTTCGCTCTTGCTGCCCAGGCTGGAGTGCAATGGTGCCATCTCAGATCACCACAACCTCTGCCTCCTGGGTTCAAGTGATTCTCCTGTCTCAGCCTCCTGAGTAACTGGGATTATAGGCATGCGCCACCACGCCCGGCTAATTTTGTACTTTTTAGTAGAGACGAGGTTTCTCCATGTTGGTCAGGCTGGTCTTGAACTCCCGACCTCAAGTGATACGCCCACCTCAGCCTTTCAAAGTGCTGGGATTACAGGTGTGAGCCACCGTGCCTGGCCTTATTTTTTTATATTTTTTATTTTTCTAATTTTGTTTATTTTATTTTATTTTTATTTTTTGAGACCGAGTCTTGCTCAGTCACCCAGGCTGGAGTACAGTGGTAGGATCTCAGCTCACTGCAACCTCCACCTCCCAGATTCAAGGAATTCTTCTGCCTAGGCCTCCAAATAGCTGGGATTGCAGGTGCCCACCACCACGCCCAGCTAATTTTTGTATTTTTAGTGGAGACGGGTTTCACCATGTTGGCCAGGCTGGTCTCAAACTCCTGGCCTTAAGTGATCTGCCTGCCTCAGCCTCCCAAAGTGCTGGGATTACAGGTGTGAGTCACTGCGTCCAGCC